AGAGGCTGAGTAGGGACCTCACTACCTTTAAGAAGAGCTAGAAGCAAGTGTGCCCTTTAGATCCAGGGTCCCTGAGCTGAGAACCTCTGAGACCCAGGAAAGTGAGAGGAGTTGTAACCCTGAAGACAGTGAGAGATAGTGCCACATCAGAGGGAAACAGTGGCAGGTATGATAGAGTCCTGAGAAACAGCAGCAGCAGAGCCAGACCAGTGGTGAGCCCTCAGGGGGCTGCCTGCCCCGTAGAACAAGGTGGTTACAGTGGGCTTGTTGGCCCATGGAAAAAAGAGCTCAGTACTTTTTGGTAAAAAAGCTTGCTGGCAGAATGGGGTGCTATGGGGGTAGGCAGCCCCATACAACTAATCACGGGTTCAGTGAGGGCAATTGTACGGTTAAGGTATATAAAGATTATAGTAAAGTCATGGAGAATAATGGGAGAGAGTAAAATAAAGAAGTCAGACACATTTCATTGTAGCATGCTCACCTCAGGCCCGCTTGGGGGTCCACGTGGAGATGGAAGACAAGAGGGCAGGAAAGAGATTTATTGCTAACCAAAGCTTATATATCTTTGGGGTGTACATGCCTCCTAATTACAGGTAATGACACACCTCACAGGAAGGGGTTGTACAATAGGCAATACAAGCAATAGGAGGGGATATACAATGGGCATAAGCATAACAGGAAGGGGATGAGCTAGGGGTGTCATAGGAAGGGGAGGGGCGAGGGGTATATATGTGACAAGAAGGGCAGACCCTAGGTTCATGATGGCGGCCTGACCTTGGTGACCCTTGAGTGGGGTTGACCTCCCTGGGCTGGCCTTCAGGGAAACAATCTACTACTATCCTTATCAGAAGGAAGAGGGCCCTACTTAGGGTGGGACAGACTATACAGTCTGATTGCTCTAGATGGCTGATAACTTTAGGGAGAATAACCCCCGACTCACATTTGTTGACCTCCAAGTGTATCGTCATTGGCCACATGGAGCAAGCAGCTAAGTTTGGCATATATTTGGGGGAGACAACTTGGGAGAAATCTTTGTGGCAAGAAATGTTCTGATCGAGTGTGGTGCCTCTGGGCACTTATTGGTGAAGCCAGAGAGCTTTCTCACACTTATCAGGAGAGAGGACAGGCCCATGAGCCCAGGCTGAGGGCCCAACAGCAGCAGGTGAGAAGCTGTTCTGATCAAAGAACTCGATTCTGAGTTGTTCCTGTTCTTTCCAGGTTGATCCTGATCCCGTTGAAATGAATGATGGAAGCCACCCGAGAAGAAGAAAATACTGTGGGAGGGGCAGCGGGTCTCAGAGTTGGTAAAAGGTGAAAAGTGGAGGTATGTCTGACCTCCTACCCTGTTTCCCTGAAAGTAAGACACCCCTGAAAATAAGACCTACTTACAGTTTTGTTTCTAGCTGAAATATAAGGTATCCCCCCAAAAAAATAAGAAGTCCCCAGAAATAAGGGTTTGGATTGTTATGATGATGTTCCTGAAGATGATGACATGACTATCATTGAATAAATGAGTAAATGTACCATAGATTGTTGTACATGGAAATAATGGTAGTAACAAGAAATCCTTGATACTGTAGGATTCACAGTTTGTCTGGTTATGTTGGTTTGCGATGACAACTACTACCGGACCGTATACAGGTAATGCATTTCCTTTTCTGTTGTTCAACAATAAATGTGTACCGTAGTCTTCTTCATGAAAAAATAAGACATCCCTGAAAATAGGACCTAGTGCATCTTTTGGAGCAAAAATTAATAGAAGACACTGTCTTATTTTCGGGGAAACGGTAGAAATCAGCCCTGGGCTGATGATGTTGACAGCACTTGTCCT